TTCTGATCTGAGTCGTGGAAGAAAAAACGGTATCCTCTTCGTTTCTGCAGTCACTGGCTAATGAAACGTGCCGTGGATATTTATAGAACTGCCACTGTAAATAGCATTCACGTTTGGTGCCTTTGAGTTATTTAGTATGAYGGTGCTTTCACCAAGGGGATTTTTTTCATTTTTGAAAGGGAAAGGTTCCCATTGGAGCCGTTTCTTGCCGTCATCTCTGCTGTTTGCATTGGACGTAACAGCTAYGTGGACAGTTAGTGATAATTTAGTGGCAAAACGACTTGCATCCAGGGATTAACTGAGTGTGGTGTGTGGTTTTCGGACAGTTTATAGGATGCTCCTAGGCAGTGTTTGCAATTACAACAAAGATAAATAGGGAGCAGGGACATCGCCRGGAGGGTTCGTGTAAGATTGCAAAACAACTGTCAGTCTGTCTTTCCTAGGAAAACCTTTATGTAAATATTTGCATGGGAGACTCCAATTGAGATTTAAATCTGATGCCTATGACACAGGTAACTAAAACATACTTTCTTTGGAATGAAAAAAAGTGCTAAGGTCCAGAAGAGGCAGTGAGTGCCCACAAGAAAGGCTTCCCTCCTGCAGCAGCCCTGTATTCTGAATGAAGGAACGTATAGCACAGCCTATGCTGCCACTGGTGGATCTCAAAGCATTTTGCAAAGGAGGGTAGCATCTTTTTTGCCCATCTTCTAGATATAGAAACCAAGGTGCCGAGAAAGCGTACTTTGTGTGTGTGATCAGCCTTTAGCCCAAGTCTCCTGAACACTAATCCAGGACTTCATCCACAGAAACACATTGCTTCAGCTCTACACGTGCCTTACAAGTACCATCTGTGTTTGTGTATTGGAGATATGTTATTGGAGATATCTTATCTGAAATTGTCTTTATATATTCAGGCACATAAATGACRCGACTTTCTAAAAACACTCACATTCAGTTTCTCGAGCAGTCTGGGGTCATGTTGCACGTGTAGGCACTGAAATAAGTGGCAGATTTTCAGAAGAATGTGACGTACCGAACTGTTTTGAAAAAATCTGTTATGTATTTTGGTGCATAATTTCCATCTGAGTTTGTGATGTCTGGCCCATGAAATCCGTTCTTTTGGCCCCTATTCACATATGAAATATGCAGTACTAACATATGGATGAACTGCCACATTAAGGAATTTGTCAAACGGTCCCACCTCTTCACAGTTCATGAGATCTGTGAATATTGATTATCATCAATAATTTGGAGATAAGCAARCTTCTTGTGGATACAGCATCCTGGCTGCCATGTGGAGGGTCCTCCTAGCACAAGCACTAGAGCCCAACTTCAGATATGAGAAAACCAAGCAGCAGGTACTGTGCAAGCAGCCGGTATTGTGGAGCTCATTTAGGAATTTTATCCCCTTACTTGAAATATCTAAAAGTTAAGTGATGCAAAGTTAGCTTCCCATAGTACTCAGTGGAAAGAAATAGCATGACTTCTGGGAGAGAAGCTCCATTTAAGATGCCCAGGATGAACTGTCTGACCAGGGGGCATCTCTCTATTTTGATCTTCAAGGAGATCTAGATGGTTAAGTTAAATTAGAAACCTGACTTCTTTGCTTCTGGAGTTAGGGTGGCTGAATCTTGCTCCTCAGAGGGAAGTTGAATGTCCTGTATTATTGATACCAGAGGCCATTGTCACTCATCAAGCTCATAGTGAAGCCCAGGAACTCAAGTGATCAGGAGCAGACTCCTRCACTGCCCTTCCACATGAAGTGTCCTAGTCTTGTATGAACAGCTCTGCCCATCTGTGCCTTAGTGTCTCATAGTTTCCGTTCCCCCACGTCCTTTGGCGTGCAAGAGCCTCAGGAGCTGAAGAACCTCCTTTTACTCTTTCTACACTTCATCTAAGCTCTGGTGCTGCTGAGTTCTTGTTTCTTGACATCCTGCACCCACATCCACATCTAGAGGGCTTTGGTATTGATGTCACTTTTCTGATAACCCAGTGGTTCCTTAACTTGTCCTCCAAGAGTCCACCTTGACTTGTCCCCAGGTTTCTCACAGTACAGCAGACAGGGCAAGATATTGGATTCACAAAGTGCCAGAAGCAGCAGCGTTCATGGAGACAGCCCATGCTAAATCAGCCCCTTCTCACTGTGCCTTGAAAACGTTCCTGTTTCTAGCTCTGACAAACTAGCCAAGTTTGTATTACCCTGATGACAGGAAAAAAGCACATACTGTGGGATCCAGACATCTGRTGGAATAATAAACCAGAAGGGAGGGTGGGAAGAACCATCTTGTTTTAGCTTACATCAAGTAGGAAGTCTGTCTTTTACTATTTTATTTTATTTATTTTATTATATTTTATTTTCTGTAAAGCTTCTTTTATTTCAAAGGGAAGTGAAAAGCATCACGGCTGTTTCTAAAAGGAAATACTGTAGCATATTTCCAGTGGTTTCTGTATATTGTGGCCCCTCTCAGCTTCCAGATGAAAGCACAGACAAAACCTGGTGCCTCCTATTCCACATCCACAGGTTCATCTTTAGCCCATGTTGGTCTCTGGGGCTGGGATGGGCTGCAGTCCTGAGTCCTGGTTCCCCTGACAGGAGCATCAGGGCGTCACAGCCTCTCCTGTCACTCAATAATGATTCATTTTATTCTGATGCTTCTTCTTACCAATTATTTGGGATTTCTTTAGAAAGCCAAGGCAATAAGAGGATTTGAAACTACCAAATTGGAGAATTATGGGAAGCTAGAGAAGTTTCACATGGAAAGCAAGCCCTTTACTACAACACTAAAATAGAAAGTCAAACATTTTGTATAGTTTTCCCTCTTTCCACTTTTGTTTTTTTTTCCTCATTTCCACTTTGTTGTCACCAATCAAGTATAACATGATGATGCAGGAAAACTAGATTGTTGTTGCTGTCTCTGCCATCAYGTTACATATGTGATCAAGTCACTGCTTTATGTCCTGCCTTGGGTATACTCAAAATAAAATCCAAATATCAATGCACATTGACGGCCTCTGGGATGCTACAGATATCTAACAGTAAGAGGCCTAGGGAGATGCAGAAACAGAGCTTATCATCTCTGAGTTTTCACCTCCCATTTTAGCCAAGGCACTGCTTGGTGTGGCATTCAAGGACAACCCTGCACAGAAACTTAGAAGTTTTCTCTTCTTCTGAGAAGGGAAAAATGTTGCCGCTCCCTTCTGTGGAGGCCTGAAATGACAAGCCTCTTGCATATCTTCACAACCAAGCTGAAAACCATTTAATGCAGAGCTCACAGAAAAAATCTTACTCACCAAGTCGTACACCTTATGAAAAGCAATATTTTTTAWAATATAACTTAGCAGAGGAACCTCTTGTAAGAAGACAATTTATTGCCATAGCAGTAAGTGGTTGACATTTATGAGAAGTCTTGTTTTACAAGATTTCCCTTTGGCTTGGATACCAGCGATCCAGTTGTGCTTGCAAAAAAAAATGAGAAGGAAACCAATATTATTTCATAAACATGATATTCTAGAAATGTTCTGGTGTAAGTAACCATGCGGGTTGAGCCTGCTTGGATCACATGGGTTCATACATGGCCAGGACTATAAATCTGAGGCAAGTTGTTGGTTGAAGGCTGGTTTTCACTGAAGTTGCCTCGTGTTGAGCTCTGTCTCACAAGGCCAGCTGGAGGCTCCCGAGCACTGCTGGCACAACTGCATTTTGCTGGGGGGAAGAAGCGGGTCAGAGCAAGGCTGGGTCTGTCCCAGAAAGAGGGATGTGGGACAGAATTGGYCATGGCTGGGATGAAGGTAGGACTGCTGGAGACTTGACCCAGCCAATTCCCACCACAGCAGTGGCCAAGCACTAGCAGGGACTTCTAGGGATGTGGCACAGGCCAAGTTGGAGGTAGGAGGATGTTCTCTTGTCTTCAACAAGTATCTCCTTCATCTCAGCCCATAATGTGCCCAGCACTGGAATGCATCGGGTACTGTCAAACTGCAGGAGCTTGTGACTTTTAACCCTCAGGACTCATGTCTGAAAGCAGAGCTGTCCTCAGTTAATCCCCCAAGTATCCCAGGTCCAGAAAGGAGACTTTGGATCTGGGAGCCAGCCCAGATGTTGCCAGAGGAAAGCATAATGGGTGAAGGCAAAAATTGTCATGCTGCAACCACAGACTACATCCACCCTGGARGCTCTCGAGGAGCCTCTGCTTGGTTTTGGCAGTGCTTGAGGACTTGTCTTGGCAAGAAGCGTCATTGCGATGAGCAGCGGGTCTGTGTAACACTCTGGATTGTGCCTTGGCCAGAGGGTGGAGCGTTCCCTGGAGCTGCCCGCCCGGCCAGGGTCTTGGTGTGCGTGACAGTCCAGGGAGGACAGGGTGCCAGAGGGCTGCCTCTGTGCTCGCTAAGGCTGCCTCATGCTGAGGAAGAGATTTCCAAGAGCAAAAGAGGCTTATGAGGTACATATCCCATTAGCAGGTAGTGGGATTGTTGGCTTTCTTAGGATTGAGTGGGTGCATGCTGAGGGCTTTGCTGAGCTGGAACTAAAGCTAACTTATAGTGCTTCATGCAAGGAAAGAGTCAGCAAAGGCCTTGATTGACTTGACTGAGGCCTTGATTGAGGAGTTTCATCAGGTCATGGCACATGGTGTTTCTTTCCACCCCAATCTACAGAAACTTGAAAGGAATAGTCTTCTGTACATAAAAGTTTTATTGGTAGTATTGTACCACTAACACTTGAAATAAGCTATACCATGATGGAAGCACACCTCTGGACCAAGATAATAATGTCATGAGCAAGTCCTGTGATGCACCTTCAATGGGACGTCTCTCTGGTGTTGGACAGCCACACTGAGCAAGGTCCAAATGAGTATAATTCCAAGGAGAGCAGAGATAGCTGCGAGGAGGAACCTTATTGCAGCCTTTGAGCTTTTTCAGAGATGTCTGAATGGAGTATTGAGTTTTCTGGAAGTTGTTTGGATGTTTCCTCTCCTGAAGCACATATCTCCTCTCTCTTTCAGATGACGGAGGGCCGCAGATGCCAAGTGCATCTCCTCGATGACAGGAAGCTGGAGCTCCTTGTTCAGGTAGGAAACACACCTTCAGCAATGCGAAAATTGCTGCCACTGTGGATGCTGGGGGGAGAAAAGGGTTTTTAGCAAGTTCAGGTAGTATTATCATGCTATGGTCATGTGCTGAGCTCAGGGGAAGGATCTCCAAGGAAGAATCTGCAGGGAGGGTCGCCTGAAACTGCAGCATGGGGTGGCTGTCCTGGGCACCAGTGGGGATAGCAGGACCACCAAGGTTGGTGCAACCCTCCTGGTAAAACCAGTGGATGGTGGTGGAAGGGGCAGGGAAACACAAACATACTTCAAAATAAGTTTGTGCTCCAGCTTCCTTTCTATTCCTTTGAAAAAGAAAAAGGAAATTGGGAGAGGTTTGAATCTGTTGTAATGATGGGACTCATGGARGGCGTCCTGCACTGAGCCTTCCTGACGCTTGCGGTGCTTCTCTCGGAGATCACCAAGGGGTTAATGGCAGGAATTAGAAGAATGTCTTTTCTTTTACTGGCTKCTGGGCCTGGCCGCAGGCAGCGCAAGAAGCAGGAAATGAAACTTCCCAGAGCACTTGGATTACCAACCGCTGGCCGATAAACTCCGGGCAGGCAGGATCTTACTCCAGCAAGCGGCAAAACCTGAATGGGGATTTCTGAGGGCGACTTGAATCACAGGAAATGCAGTTCAGCACTGCTTTCCGGAGAGTTGCTTAAAAAACACCACTAGCAAAATGTTAACGGATGGTATTTTTGCAAGTACTTAGTCACCGAGCTGCCCAAGTGCTCGGCTTTCCGAGACACTCCGCGCACACGTGCTCAGTGCAGTCAGGGATCTCCCAAATTGCTGTGAACAAGCTGGGCCGGTGCTTGGAGAATAACGAGGTCCATGTGACTAATTAGTTTAAGCAAAGCGCGGATGCTGCGGGATCACTGCAAGGCTGTGGGTCCCGGCACGAGGTGGAGGATCTCAGCTCTGCAAGGCTTAGCAGATCTCTCCATGGGCATTGCATCCATGGGCACATCTTTAAATGCTATCTTCATGTGGATTCAGATTCCTAGTTCACATAAATGCTGTTGAAATTTTTGCTGATTCAATGAAAACAAGCCAGCCATTGGAAAGCAGCTCTAATAAAATACTGCTCATGATAAGAATAACCACAGTCTAAAATATAATGCTGAAAATTTATTGGAGCTGGTTACCCAACCTGTCTGCTTGTTTGGGGGCTTCACCAGTAACATCTTGTTTGCAAGCAAGTTGTGAAAGAAAGCACAGTGGAAACTCAGTCAAGGGGACAGGATTGGAAGCTCCCTGCCCAGTTCAGCAGCCAGGACATGAGTAAGCAGCAGCAATACCATGTGATTYTGTTTTTAAGTGTTTGATCACACCTTCAATGGGAATTTCCAGTGATCAATATAGGAAGCAAATTGCTCTGTAAATCACACTAACTAGTTTGCAAGTGACCCATAGCTGAATTTTATTTATACAATAAATTGTTTCACTGTTTTCAAATAACGTGTGAATGGGAGAAAGCCAGAAGGTGATTGTGAAAAATTCATGCTCATAAAAAGCAGTAACCTTTGCTACGTACAGGTTGACCCAGCTCTTTGAACAGCACTATTCTGTGTACACACAGGATTGTGCACTGAGAGATCTCAGCTGCTTTTCTGGTTAAATGAGGCTCTTCAAGGTTCTTCAGCATATTGTATTCATGGAGATAACAAATAGATTGCTTTCGGGTGGAGCGAGAGGAAGAGGATGTTTGGATTCATATTGTGCCTGTGCTACTGATCTTGGTTGCGGACGTGGGGGAAACGCTTCGGGTCGCTAGATCTTGGCTGCCTGCAGAGCACTGATGAAGCCATCAGCTTCGTGGTGGCCTCAGGGTTGCCACTGCTGGCATGAGCAGTGCCTGATCCAGGGAGGTCCCTGAGCCTCCCTCCAGGAGCCACGTGTGCTTGGCCCAYGGCAAATCCCACCATCTAGTCCTTGTTGTCTGGGTCTTGTGCTGAGATTCGAGATAAAAGTTGCTTTTGTAAGTTCTAAGTAGTCTTATATTTGTTATTAGCTTATCTCATAGCTGAACTGAATCAGAAGCTGTAAATAAAACATTCATCCAAACCAGAGCTTCTGGCTGTGACTTCAAAGCTGTGTTTATCTGTGGATATCTTGCCATGAGCTGAAGCTGAGGCTGCTTTGCTGAACATTGTATGTCTTGAAAGAGAATCTTCCATAATTGTGTCTGTCCTTCGCAGACAGATATACGTTGGCTTGACTTGTGCATGACCAATCTGCCAAATTCTCATGTGAAATTTGTCCCTTCCCACCATTGTTCACCTCTCCTGGAAGCTCCTCTGTAGTTYATGCTCCTATGGCTAGTTTAAAAGTGACCACTGGGAGTCAGAACTGGTTACTCTCCCATGAACGAGGCTGAAATATCCCATAACCTGGAGGTGGTTTTATGCCTCTGTGTGTGTGGGGGGGTACCAAGTACCTGCCATGGCAGAAGGATGAGGGATCACGCTGTTTGAATGGGAAGTGAGTGTGTATGTATCCTTGTGGAAAAAGAAAGGAGAAGGAGCCGGGTCAGACGGGGCTAGGGCGATGTGTGCAGCTCCCTTGGCATGGGTGCAGGAGGGTTCCTGGAGCATCTTAAAATCGTGCAGTGACTTGGAGGAGAGAAGATGTATTCCTCTCCCAGAAGAATGCATCTGGGAACGATCAGGGTATGTGCAAAAAGCAGCGTATTGAACAAAATCTACCCCCTTTTTGTCTGCGGATTAGCTGTTGGGTCTCGGCGGTTTATGAATATGTTGCTTGAAACCTATCGATTTATGRCTAATGGGGACCACATGGCAGTCTGCAGGACGGTGGCAGTGGTGGATGTGCTCCTGTGGTCGCTTGGAGGAGTCAGCCTTGGTACAGAGTGACAGCTCATCAAAAAAATACCAAAACGTTTCAGCACCGCAGATTTTACCCCAGAACTACAACAACTTCTCAGTCTGGCCACACATGTCTCTCCAGTGGGATCCCTCATGCATGTTTGCTTTATTTTCATTGTTGATCCCCAAAAGTGAGGTTCTGGCTCAAAGACAGCATTTATAACCCTTTCTGGGAATGCTGGCTGGTTTCAATCTTGGCACGTAATGCGAGGGTTGGAATTACCACCATGGAGTGAGGGCTCCTGCTTTCAGTCAGTTCAGTGATCTCAGCTGAAGTCTTCTCTCCCAAGTTGAGCAGTACAGCAAGAGCAATTAAAAAATAAATAAATAAATAACAGAGGCTTTGCAGATAAAAAGAAAGCTGTTATGTCAGATAAATACTGAAATTTAGAAAGTCTAATCATAAACTAGGCAGAGTATGATCATACGGAAATCTCTTCCTGAGGGTGTGAAACACAAAGCCTGTTTGACTTGGGATTATGGAGAAGAGTTGCATTTGGGATGTGTTTCGTTTGATAAATGCCTGTTGATGCTCCRTTGTGTGTGGCAAGTTTACATCAGATTTTTTTCTTTTTGACAGCATTTTCTTTCTGAGATGCAGCAGCACTCGGCTCCTCAGATCTTCTTACACTGTGTTTTTTTCTCCTTTCTGCTTCTGTTTGATGTGTGTTTAGTTTCTAATGCAAGTTTTTTAGGAGCATGTTTGGCTTTATCCAGCTAATCCTTTGCAGTGGAGCAAGTCCCCCTTTCCTGCTTCTGAAAAAAAAAACGGATTTGCTCACATCTCCAGCACACTATCTGCTATATTACTTCCATGTGGCTGCATATCATTTATCTGTTGCACRTGGAAGGTTTGCATTGCTCTGCGTGAGGGTTTTCCGTAATTGGCAATTTGCTCCTTTTTGGRGGAATATAAACATACAATGAAATGTTCCCCACCTCTTCAAAAGATGACATTATGGTTTTTGTCACCTTTTCAGTATTGCTTATGCTCAAGGAATCTCAGTCAATGGATTTGCCTGTGTTTCACCCCACTCCTGTTCTGCAGAGCGCCAGGCACGGGCAGGATGGGGCTGGGTGACCTGGTAGCCCTTTAAAAGGAGCAGCTTGTGGAGCAGAGCAGAAATGTGGCCCTGACCGTAAATGGAGACGTTTTTGGGTGTCAGAGCCATCCTGGCGATGCGGGAGAGCCGCTGTGGCTCCCTGCAGCGCTGCAGGCTCAGCTCCAAAAGCGCTTTTAGCTGTGGCCAYGGAGGGAAGCGGCACCGGCTGGCAGCAAGGAGCACGTGGAGATGAGGACTCTGCTGTGCTGGCTCTGCAGCCAGCTCCATGACTGCTCTTCCCACAGGACAGACAAATAATCCAGCCCTGGACTGACCTCAAGTAGTGTTTTCCGCTAGGAAAACCCCTTGTGCTGAGAAACTGCAAAATTTGGATTTASGTCATAATTCAAAATAGGCCAGAGCTGAAAGGGTGTTTGGATCTACGTGCTGGAAAGGAGGCTTTATTTTCCCTGTCTGCCATGCTAAGTCTCCCGACTTCAGAAACAAATCCTGATTTACTATAGTGAGAGTAAGACTGTAGTCCAGCTCAGGAAGTATTTGGGAAATTGCAAAGTAGATTTCTGAGCGCCTTTGGCATTAAAAATTACTGAGATCAACAGCTTTGGATTGAGCTGGGAATCTTAGAAAGATCCTGCCAAGCAGTGTCTCGAGTAGGATTTACATCACCGGAACAAGCCGTACGATTTCCCCTCAGCAGCCTGTCACTTCTGATAGATTAACTGTGCTCAGCTCTCCCTGCTGAGGAAAAGACTCCATCCTGACCTTTTGCTAATTCGCCTGTCTCCATCTAAGAGTTTTGATGGTCTCTAGTGTAGCGAGAGTGACTGGAAATGGGGTAAATACTGCCGGGTTTGGTTGCTGCATGGTGGAAAGTGATGGGTATTGCTGGGCTATGGGAGACAGGCTGGCCATGCAGGTCCATGCTCTCATTGAGCAGCCACTGAGTTATGAATATAGAGCCTTTCTGCTGAAAATTTGGCTGTTTACCTGAAAATAGCAGTGTTTAGCACTGTTCTGAAGGATACAT